TGTGTCGGGTACACAGGAGATGCCACTTGGGAGATGGATAGCTGCCAGTCAAGCTCACCTTTGGAGTATCTAGAAGCATGGCATACAGGTCTTGTGCAGGCCTCATACTTGGATAAATGTCACCCCACTTTGTTCCATCTGAGACATGTTAGCAAGAACCAATGTGCACACCCGACTTTGGATGGGTCAGAGTAAGACCCTGGGCACATGCCTAGTAACACAGCCTTCTGGAAGGTAGGTCCTAGTAGTATGTCTCCACCCACAAGGACTCTGTCTGTCTGTCTGTCTGTCTGTCTGTCTGTCTCCCTCTGTGTGTGTGTGTGGGTGTAGGTGTAGGTGTATATGGAGACTGGAGATGGATCTCTGGTATTGATGCTCAGGGCTGTCCTTCTTGAATGCTTCCTGGTCATAAGGCAGAGGATGGTGCCCTGAGCTTTGGGCCACACCATTCATCTCCTTGACTAGCTCTTTTCCTTGACTGTGCTAAAGAGTCCATGATCTAAGGTTGACCTAAAACTCAGTGGAGTTCTGGGGGCCCGAGAGCTGTCTTAGTGGACGGCCACACAAACAGAAGACAGAGGAGGACCAGCTGGTTCCAGGACCCACAAGGGGTCTAACAAGTCACCACAGCTGTGTATTATACCCCATAAACAGTTGACACAAGTGTGTCACGGCTAGACAGAAACTGATACAGGGGACAAGGCCCACTGATAGCCCCTGTGGGCCACAGGCCCATGGGGAAGAATGGACATCTCAGCAGATGGGACTGAGTCAGAAAACCATGGCCCTGGAAGCCAACCCTACATAGAACGGTGCAGGGTAACGGGAGGGCTCCTGTGCCTAGAAGTGACATAGTGGAGTCTCTTGATGTCAGGGGAGAAAGGACCTTTCATTGGCCCTTAAACTTGGTGAACTCAGAACCCCTGGTGGGCTGTAAAAGCATGGGCTGAGGCCCAACAGTATTGATCCTGCAGGACAGAGTGAGGCCCTGCATGTCTTTCAAGCTCTGGGTGACCCTCTGCTGCCAGTTGGTGACTGTGTGGAGAGGATTACCAGAATCCTATTAAGTACAGAGCTTTTGGAAATGAATTTAGTTAAAGAGAACTCAGAACTGTTAACCAAAAGACACTATTTAACATACATCAGTTAAGCAAAGAAATGGAAAGGTGTGAGGCTGGAGAGATGGCTCAACAGTTAAGAGTGTGTACAGCTCTCCCAAAGACCTGAATTTGGTTCCCAGTACCCACTTTAGGCAGCTCATCCTATAACTCCAGCTGTGAGAATCCGACGCCCTCTTCTGGCTCCTGTGGGTACCTACACTCATGTGTGCTGTGGGATGGTCTGTATGTCAAATTGCTCTGATTGGCCAATAAATAAAACACTGATTGGCCAGTGGCCAGGCAGGAAGTAGGTGGGGCAAGGAGAGAGGAGAATTGGGAAAACAGCCTTGGGACGAGTTCCAGAGCACAGAAGAACACTGCACCTCAACCTTGATCCAGTTAGCGGATAACTCGCCTCCCAACGGTGCCTGCGAACTCGCCTCCCCAGTCTCACTCCTCCCCAGGGTCACCCTCCACAAGTCCAACTCACGGGTGCTGCAGTGTCTCACAGACAAGAAACTCCTACCAGATAAATAAAACAAAAAAAGAAATGTTTCCTTACCCCCCTGCTCTGAGCCTTACTGTCCCCGCAGGGCCCCTAATGTAACTAAAATCACACCGTCTCCCTTCTCAGTCCCTGGGTTTCCTGCCATCATCTTGGGAAGAGGAGGAAACAGGATCAAGAACAGGGAGTGACGGAGGGGGAAGAGGTGGGAGACAGAAGCCTTCCCTGCAACACTGGGAAGAACAGGGTGGGCGGGCGGGGAGTAACAATGAGGAGGCCACTGTCTTGCACCTAGAATACGAAGTGAAGAAAGTTTGTTTTGGAAGGAAGGTCCTGGGGAGATCTGACCCCAAACCCCGGAGCAGGGCATAGTAGTGGCAACAGCTGCCCGGTGTTGGTTGCTGAAGCGTTAAAAAGTGCCATGACGGGGCTGCCGGGAGGCGGCCCTCGGGAGCCGGGGCTCAGTGTGCTGTTACCGTGGGGGCTGTGTGCTGAGGGTGGGGATGGAGAGGTTATGTTTTAGCTCTCGTGCTAACGCCACACGTGTCTGCTGCCAGCCCCCTCAGTTGCTACAACACTGGCTCTTGTTCTGCGGGGACTGCTCGTGGAGGTCCACGCCCCGACTCCGGCCCGCCGCACCGCCCAGGTTCTGGGGTTCACTCTTCGGCAACTTCTTTGCTATTGCCAGGAAGAGATCATTCACGTTCATAGCCGTCTTAGCGGAAGTCTCCATAAATAATAAGCTGTTGTCATCTGCATATGCCTGAGCCTCTTCGTATTCCACCATGCGCTTGTTGGCGAGGTCGGCTTTGTTCCCCGCCAAGGCGATGACGATGCTGGGGCTGGCCTGCCGCTGCAGCTCCTTCACCCAGGTCTTTGCCCGGGCAAAGGTTTCCTGATTAGTAATGTCATAAACCACAATTGCGGCCTGGGCACCCCTGTAGTACATGGGGGCCAGGCTGTGGTACCGCTCCTGCCCAGCTGTGTCCCAGATCTCAAACTTGACTGTTGTGTCATCTAGACACACAGACTGGGTGAGGAAGGCCGCT